TTACACACACACACGCATGTACGTATGTGTAGTTTTCCTGAATTTGTGCTAAGCTAACTGGCTGTCGGCAGAACACGAAGTCACATCGTAAAAACGCGGGGAATGGTGTCCCTCATCATCGCCGCGGTTTGCGCTCCGCAATAAAACGGAAGGGGTTGTTTGGTTTTGAATGGATTTTGAAATGGAGTTTTCTCGCGCCTGCCGTGCAAGTCCTCGCTGCGTGTGTGCAAACTTTGGAATAGTTGTTGTTCCGAACAATCACATTCATGCGTACACATTGCAGCTATTGAGGCACTTCCAACGGACCCTGCATTCCAGGCCCGGAGCAAAACAAAACACCCCCTGCGAGTCATCTCAACAACACAACAACAATATCATCACACATGCATACACACACTGAAACCCCCCCAAACAAACACATTGAAACGGGAATATGACGACGTGTGCCGGGCCCGACCAATATGGATTTTTTTGAAGCCGATGCCGAGACAAAAATTGGGCAGAATTAAATTGTGATCACCGATTAATCAGCCATTCATTTGAAAAAAATATATCATGAACAAAAGAACTTTTTTTTTAGTCCTTTAACACTTACGACAATAAAGGTACAAATTACAGGAACAAGGTTTTACTGTTTTATAAATCTTTAGTCCTGTTTCAAATATCAGCCGATGAGCCGATTCATCGGTCGGGCCCCAGCAAAGTGGGTGAGAGAAAAAAAAAAAAAAAAAAAACAAGACCAACACCTCTTTGTGCAACCACCCCCATCCCCATCCCCAGCACACACACACATATACACACGCACGCACGCACACGACCCCCTACTCTGGCTCAGTGTTTACACAGGCCAAAGTCCCAACATGACTACATGGGGACCTGATGCAATATTTACTGCTAATCCACACACACAAATAGTTGAAAGGTATACACACACCCACACACACCCACACACATACAAACACCATGACAACCCTTTTCCGTGAAAAAAAAAAAAAAAAAAATCATCTGTCAATAACACCCTGTGTGCGTGCGTGGGTGTGTGTGTGTCCTATCAGGCCTGTTTATATAAGAGTGACAGTGTTTCCCGCTCACACTTGGCCCACCCACACACACCCACACAAGGCAAGCCAATGACCTGGCTATCAGTGGCCGAAATGCAGACCACACGCTGTACTTAACTGACCCTCCCGGTACAGTATGCTTATGTAAATGGCGTTTGTTTGTTGGTAATCAGACATCCTGTACATTCCTCGTCGCTAAGCAAACGGGGGGCTAACCTCCGTTGTGTTTATTATACAACGGCCGGAGGCTTATCATATTAGAAGGCGGCCCCCGCCATTGCCTGGAGGTGGCATTTGAAGGCCCATTCGTCGGATAAGCCAAAGACTCCTTCATATCAAATCGTTTTTGGAGGACGTGCTGAAGACGTGTGCGATGCGAGTAGTGCCACAGTAACATAGCCAGCATGCCATTGGAATGGGGTGCCTCAAGGATCCATGTTTGGCCCTGAGCATTTTCTGAATGACTTCAGTGATTGAGAACCGGTGCTGCAAATCCTTAGTGTTGATGATACCAAACTGTAGTCGTATTGATGATTGTGCTTTACAGTATAGTGCCCCCCCCCCCCCGCCCCCACACACACACACACCTCCTCCAGACACACACATCCCGATATATTCATGACAATAGATGAAAGGAGACCACAAGAGGCAAGTGGAAACTTGGGAATATAACGCTGCAAACAAACCTGTGAGATATATCCTGGTGGCACATGGATGGGCGGGATGGAGCCGTTGGGGGACATCATGGGGACCTCGGCAGGACCTGCAAAAGATGACAAACATTGACTCAACTGAGCAAAGATTGACACTCGTTAGTCACTCCTGACATGTTCTATTTTACTGAAAACCTGAAATCGTTCTGCTTTGTTTAATTGCCTGCTACCTTGCGGTTTAAAGTTGGAGACGCTCCGCTTTAACGCGGTTCCAGCCAAACGTGTACTTGATACCCAAGCACTTAATTCCGGTCTTTTGCGGATAACATTAGCCAGTTAGCTTCTTCTTTCCCTCCGTTAATTACTCCTTATTGTCGTATCGCCCGTTTGTATGTCACACAACGATGTCCTTATTACTTCCAAGTAGATTTACGGATTCGTGTGGAGTCTGCAATGTCCTGGCAAAAAGTTAAAGCGCTGCCTGTGTTTTACAATCATATGAGAAACAAAAACGGCGCAAGGATTTAATAGAAGGAACAGATTTAAAACTATGTCGACTTTTCCGTCTTTGCCTGAATACACGGACCATCTCCTTCTCTATCTTCTGCGAGATGGAGGTTCCGGGGCTGCTAAAGTCATTGAGGAATCTGTCGGGAACGCAGGAGGGAATAAATCACAATGGAAAAGCAGACACCGAAAACACCCCAAATTTGGTGTTTTTTTTTTTTTTTAAAGCAATGAATGTGGGAGGGTCCTGGACAGGTAGGAAAGAAATAATAGGCAGTCTGTTTACGACGGTACGACATGCACTATTGAAAGAATCTGTGGCCATGTTGCACAAGTGCCGGTTTACGGCACCGTCCAATTTATGAGAAAATACGGATTCAGGGTAGTGAGCCACCTACTTACAGGGATGTCTGCCTGTGATAGGACAAAAATCTTTCCTTACGCTTTTAGAGGATTCCTTTCCATCAAATTACCATTCATTGCTAATTGACTTCCTATAAAGTCTGATGATTCCCATTTCATCCCGTATTTCTTTGGAGTCTTTCCAAAATTCCGAGAAAATTTTGCCGAAACTTTCAGAAAATGTACCAAATACTTTCCCAAAATTTACCACTCCATCAAAAACTTTCTGCAAATGTACCCAAAACTTTCTGTGAATACACCAAAACCTTGATGCAAGTTTATCGAAAATGTCTGCAAATTTGCCAAAAGCTTTCCGCAAATTTACCCCCGATCCTTCTGCAAAATTACCAAAAACTTTCCACAAATTTACCAAAAACAAATTTCCAGAAAAACTTTCAGGAAATTGACCGACATTTTTTTCAGGAATGTACAAAAAAGAAATTCCAGAAAAAGTTTCTCCACCACGTTGCTAGTTCAGTTCCACACATAGCAGATAAGACAAGATAAGTGCAATTTTGTGGCCATATTTTATGCGATAGTGATATTTAATTTGACTCCAATTAATTCTTGTGCATGTCGTTTTTTTTCGTCCACAGTTTCTCAATAAGGTGTCGTCAAATGCACTTTGAACATATACAGTAAAAGAGTCGTTAAGGTTTCAAATATGATACATTTGGGCTGAATGATTTAGGAAAAAAAAATCATGAAATCATTTTTCTCCCCCTCAATGTTGTGATTGTGATATAATGTGCAATTTTTTTTTTCAAGGTCAGTTTCCCATGTTTATTGATTTACACACTCTATTCATCTCTATTTCCGTAATCAATACACGATACGGCGCATCATTTTGATGCAAATGTATTCTCTAGCCACTTTATAATAAATTAACAACATAAACATAGATGGATAAAAAAACTTTTTTTTCTCAAAATGGAGCCTTTGTGATTTGAAAATTGCATTCCTCGACACTCAAATTTCGATTTGACCTTGATTCATTGTTCAGCCTCAATATACATTTTCTTAATTGCTTTCTTAAATAAAAGTGGCCTGGGGAAAGAGGAAATGCGAGTCGCGGGTTGACCACAATTCTGCAGCGCTGTTAGAAATGTAGATTTCACCTGACTAACTCAGCACGGCGCACTTTCAATGTCTGTCACGGTTCCTCCAGTCAGAAATTACCTGCCTCCCCTTCCAGCCATTAGTCACATCCTTCCAAGATTACTCACTTCATCCTCCCTCTCTTCCTTTCTTTCATCCCCAAATGATTCCCTCTTTCCTTCCCCACCTCGCCTCACTTCCAGTCAGGTTGAACACACACGCACACGCACACACACACACACACACACACACACACACACACACACACACACACACACACACAGGGGTAGAGTGTATGTAGTAAGTGTGTCAGTGTGGTGAGAAGGTCACAGGTAGCCCGCAGACAGAGCTCCTTCAGTCCCGTCTACTTGCGAGCCGCCGCGACGGGTGTGAGAGAGTCCACATTCAGGAGAAGCTCACATACAGTGCCCCCCCCCCCCCCCAAAAAAAAACCTCTCCCGACGATAGCCTTGCTCTCTTTGCTTGGCACACAGCAGCATTTCTTGACACATTCACGTTCTCGTACACACGCATTCCCATCCATGGCCCCCTGGACTGGACCCAACAGACTCGACTACCCGCCCCCCCCTGAAAAATACAAGACACTCTTTGTGAGCTGTCCTTCACGTACACACACAGCTGTAAACCACATGCCTGCCATTTCGGAAAGCTGCGCATAATTAACTGATTGTACGGATGTGTACGTGTACGTGTGTGTGTGTGTGTGTGTGTGTGTGTGTGTGTGTGTGTGTGTGTGTGTGTGTGTGTGAGAGAGTGTCTGCGGGTGCGTGTGTACGTTCAAATGGCGCACGCGCACAGAAGTGGCTGGCGCGATGTGACCGATGCTAACGTGATGTCACAACTTCCGGTGCCTAATCGGAATGGAATTCCGCACAATTCCACAGGCAAGATAGTTCGAATGCCGGTCGGAAGGCCCGTTAAGAGGATCCATCAGCGACCCATCCAACAACCTTCCATTCAGCCATATTTCCAGCAGCAACACATCCAAACAGCTATCCTTCCACCAGTGAGACGTGTCTCAACCACCCATTCAACCAGATTTTTTTCCATCATGGGACCTATCCACTCGCTAATATGTCCGTCAGCGACCCATCAATGCAACCACATGCCCACCTATCTTCCACCAATCACCGCAATCATCGCCCCCATCCAACCGACCGTTCTTCAGCCATCCATTCTTTCATCTCACAAGCCGCAGCAGCAAATTGTTCACGCTACACATGCTAACACGACGCCGACACGGAGAGAAGGCCAACTTCAAAATAAAATCTTTCCAAAAAAACGGCAATACACGGACATGGGCGCTTCAAAACCAATTTAAAACAAATTACTCTGACATGGCGGAACCCGGTGCTCGTTCTCAGCGTTAGCGGCTAGCGGCTAGCAGCTAGCCGCTGAGCGAGTGCCCATTGTCGGCTGGCAAGAGCCCCGATGACTTTTCAAAGGCAGTTAAATAGGCGAAAATGGCTCTGCGCACTTTGATGTCGACAGTCTGACACAGTTGAAGATCCTACTGATCAATTTGAACAAACTAGTTTCACTCAAGTGTGCTATTTTAGCCGGAAAATATACGACTTGATGTCATATCATAGCCCAAAATCTCACTAATATTCCTAGAGAAGAAAATACAGTTTGCTGCTTTGCAGTTCAAATTGAGGGAGAGAAAAAAAAGTTGATTATGTAAAACTGAAAACCAATTGGTCAGAAAATGTGTCATTTTCTCGTGTCTTTATACTTGTTCTCGCACACGCATACACACACAATGACATACATTCAACTTTCCTGCCTCAGAAGAAACAAGTTTGTAATCTCGTCCAAATGTCTTTCTTCCATACATTCACTCTCTCACACACACACACACACACATACACACACACACACACACACACACACACACACACACAGAGGGGAAGTGATGTAACATTTCATCAGATGTTTCCCATGATGCAGCTGTCAAAGCCAGCTGCAAGCTGGCCCCAAAGCATCAACACACACAGCAGCTCAGAAGGAGCCTCACACGGTCTGCAACGCTGTATTAACACTCGCTCAGAAAACTTGACATCTATTCATTTGACAATAAGAGAGAAATGCACCTTTTTCTTGCACTTCCCACGTGGCGACCAGACGGAGCGGAGAGGAGACCCTTTTGGGAAAGCGCACGTGTGTGCCTGTGTGTGCATGTGTGTGTGTGTGTGTGTGTGTGTGTGTGTGTGTGTGTGAAAGAGAGAGTGCGCTATTGCTTTTCTGTGCTAATGTGTCATCACCCTTGATATATCACCTTTTTCTCTGGGGTCGTAACTCTACAATGAACACTTTTAATTTCATTCAGCCGGTTGTGTATGCGTGTGTGTGTGTGTGTGTGTGTGTCTGTGTGTGTGTGTGTGTGTGTTCTTGATTTTCTCTGTTAGGTGGAAGTACTAATGACACCGCATCGTGAATTAAGAGATATTTTTCTTTGTGGGTACATTTATGCCGTTGCACCCAAGAAAAGTGCTACGACAAGTCCAATTAACTGTGTGTGTGCGCATTTATGAGTGTGCATGTGTGTATTTGTGCGTGTAGGTGCGCATTTGTGTGTGTGTGTGTGTGTGTGCGTGTGTGTGTGTGTGTGTGTGTGTCAGCTGTGACGTGGCAGTGCCTGGAAGTTATGTAAGCGTCAGCGGGGTAATGTTATCTGTCCTCTGAGCCCCGAGAGCCAAGGCGCTCCCACAATAGCTTCCTCTGCGCACGCGCACACACACACACACACACACACACACACACACACACACACACACACACACACACGAGTGTTTCTCTTGTGCGGACCAGCCGAAATGTCGCCGCAAAGAGAAATGTCCCCTCAGTAAAAGGTGGGGTGTCATGTATGGCGCCACACTAAAATAAATATCCAAGAACACACTCGTACGCCGAGGTATACATCAAGTGGAGCATCTGGCGCCCTGGTGCACCCAACACAACCTGGAGCTAAACACGCCCAAGACGGCCATCTTTGGCCACGGCTGCCCCTCAGACTACCCAACTGCCCCGCGTCAACCGTCGACACCTTCAAGTTCCTGGTAATCGCAGTCTCTCAGGACAT